GAAAGAGTCCTTTAATTCAAGTTTGTTTCTGATTAATTATAGTTCAATAATTCTCAATTATGGGTGCATATTAGGAATCACATGGGCTATTTAAAAAGAAAAAATATGCTGGGACCTTACTCATAGAGAATATGATAAACTTCTGAGTTGGGGCCTACACATACTCATATTTATTTCCATTCCCATTTTTTAGTCCTAATGTGTAGCCAACGTTGAAAACTCTGCTTAGCTAATTAATTTCTTAGGTGCTAATTAGATACTCTCTTTGTATATAATCTCTTATTGTTTTTAAAAATTATAAATATGCCTTATAAATTCACCAAATATTCTACCTAAAAAGGATGACCTAGTACAAATAGTACTTTTACTTTCTCTCATCTAACACTTTCAATTTATGTATGCATGTATGTTTCGCATTAACTAGAAGAATTTACACTAAATAGTTGATCATATTTTTCTCTTAGGCAATAGGATATTGAAATTGTTTGACTTTATTTTTATACAGTTAAAATTTTTCATTGTCAAGATATGAAAGCTTTCATCTATTATGTTGAAACTTTTACAATAACTAATAATGCCAGATAAACTGAAAATGTGTTTATTTATTTTATTCTTAATCATTCACAGTAACAAAAATGATTTTGACAATATTTAATATACTTACACAGATTCTGCATCCTTTTCCTTTTTAATTATCCCTGGAAGTGCAAATGTCTTTCTTTTCCGTGGTTTCACACCTTTAAAAAGTACACATAGTTAAAAACGCATCAACTTCTCCTGATAAATATATTAAACTTATGAATATCTCCTGTATGCTGACAAGTAATTTACTCATAATTATTGAAATTAAATTTGGATGAAAGAAAATAAAAGCATCAACTACTGAATCCCAATATTTAAGCCATACTCATAGTCCATTTAGATTTTTCTTGAAGTGCAGCGACTTAATAGGGGTCTTTTAGCCATGCCCTTCAGTACTGAACAATGTCTCAAAGATAGGCTTAAGGTTTTCAGCAGCTACTCCCTCCAAAGTAGACAGGATGGTAAAGTGAAGGGGCAGAGAAAAACAGGAAGGCCCTCAACAAGACGGACTAACACAGGGGCTGCAACACTGAGCTCAAGCATAGGAGCAATTGTGAAGATGGCTCAGGACTGGGTTAACTGGGAGTTAACTGGGGTTACCATCCGGCTGGGTATAATATCAGCCATATAAGAAGCAGGAGAAAAAAATCTAACTACCAGGAAGAGAGAAGAGCCAGAGATGGAGCAGTTTTTGGACCCCAAGATCTGTGTGCACTGACCCTCCATGATTCTTAAGAAAGCTTTGACACCAGAGGAACAGCAGAGGATCGGGAGGAGCAAAATCAGAAGGCAAAGCACCAGGCAGAGCAATGGACTCCCCAGCCCAACTTTATAAAGCAAGGAAAGCTGAGTGCTTCTCTGTAAGAGGCTGACTTGTGGAGTGGGTACCTCTGGGCACTTAACTTGAAAAGCAGGGCTTACTGCTCCACAGAGCTAGAGCCCAGTGCCTTAGGGTGAGGACATATAGCAGTAGCATGCCTTTTCGGTACTGACAGTTCTACAAAGCTTTCTCACATTGTCCTCACAGGGCACAGTCCAAGTCAAGAGGCTAAGGAATCAGAGAGAGGCCTCCCTGCAAGTATGGCAGAGATGAGACTGTCCTCACGGGATAATTGTATCCTGAGCATTTCTCACCTAATTATAACCTATGGACATCCCTAATAGGCCCCATAATCTGAAAATGTTTGTGAGTTCTGAGTGGCTATTGCATGAATCATCAAACGCTGTCACAGAAGGAGGGATGCTGCTGCCAGTACAGGGTGAAGAAGGGATGAAAGGTGGAGGCAAGTCTGACCTCGGCCCCACTGTAATCAGATTGGGTGATGCGGACATAGAGTAATTTTCCTTCCCTGTGTGAAGACAGAGATCAGGCCTGATATCCATGCCACATTCACTTGGTTCATTTCGTCACTGAAATGCTTTTTCCTTTGCCTAAGTCTTCCTTAAGTCATCTCAGGCAAAATACCTAAAACCAGTGCCACCAAGTTGATGCTACTTCATTGACACCTTATGAAACAGGGTAGACCTGCTCTTTATGAGTTTCTGGGGCTTTAAATATAAGTCAAATCATGTTCACATTTTAAAAGTCATAGTACATAAATGCATTGTTTTAATTTTTTTAATTATTGGCAGATCCAACTAGCGTATAACAAGGGATATTTAGCAACTTGGCATTCCTGTGTCGTTACATCCAAAATAAACATGTTATCAATGGATAACTGGAGCTGAGAAGCAAATACAATTTTTGTTTTCTTAATATGGCAATGCTTCATCCTCTTAAAACATGACAAATTACAATGTGAAGGCTGGCCATGCTATAAATTATTGATGGAAGTGAGTACTTAAAACTTAGCTACTTATTCTCCCAATATTACAATAGTTAGAGATCTTAGGGGATAAACTTAGGTTAATCTTATTTTATAGCTGGCATTTTTGGGGTTACACAATGGGCTGTTAACCACAGGTCAGCAGTTCAAAACCACTAGCCACTCTGTGGGAGAAAGATGAAACTTTCTAATCCCATTGAATTATCCTCTCAGAAACCCACCTAGGCAGTTCTACCCTGTCCTCCTATAGGTTCGCTTTAAGTCAGAATTGACCTTATGGCAGAGTGAGTTTAGTCACCATTATAGGTTTAATTCCAAGCCAACGCACCTCATACTCACTTATCACCTGTCAGTGGAGCTTGGCACAATGCTATGATGATAAACAGGTTTTAGCAGAGCTTCCAAACTAAATGGACTAAAGAGGAAAACACAGTGATCTACTTTTGAATATTCCCAAAGGAAGAGTTGGAGAGTTACATTATTTCATGTCAACTTGAAGATATATAAAAGTGTAGGGGTGGAGCTTAGCCTGTCAATCAGGTTGCATGCAGCCTGATTACCTACCTTGGAAGTGCAAGGGAGATACGTATAGCTCTCTGGAGGCCAGCCTCTCTCCCTCCTGCTCACTGGCTACTCCGAGAACTGCCAGAGCCCTATTATGCTTCCACCACCATTGGATCCATGTGACTTTGCACCCACCAGTCTGTGATCTTCCTGCATTCTGCATTACTGTCTGGGTCTGAAGAGGATCTTATGAACTAGTACTGGACTTATGAACTTGAACTGGGATCTTTTCTTGATATATAGTTACTTCTTGATAGAAAGCTCTTTCTTACACATATATGAGTGTCACTGGATTTGTTTCTCTAGTCAGCCCGGCCTAACACAGGAGTGGAAGGAAACTGGAACTATATAGGATCATGGAAGAACTGGACAATGCGATATCATTAATTTCCAACTCCTTGGAACTAATCCAGTATTAATTCTATTAAAAGAGATTATTACTACAATTGATGTCAGGAGTGGGATTCCTTATAAAAGAGAAAACTAAAGGGGCATGGAAGATGAAATTTTTGATTATTACATGGTTTTCTTTGGTTATTCTTACCTGAAGTAGTTGAAAGTAATGAGATGGATCTTAAACTGCACTGGTTCCCTAGGGCAAAATCTAGGCTGTTTAGACAAAATGGCTGATAAAAGGCCAGGACTTGTTAGCTAATGCCCTACCAAAGGCCTAAGGCGATATGCATCTGCATGAGATAGTCTGGCTCAAAAAGGATTGGATTTGTGTGCTTTAAAAAGGACTATGTTTATAGATTTGGGGCTTCCATTATCATCCACTGCAAAATGGGTGCTTAGAATTTAGACACTATTCCCTCCTCCAAGTGTGGATCTTATTGTTGACAAACCTTGGAAGGCACAGGCTGGTGTGATTCTTCTGTATGGACTTAGCTGACTCCTCAATTAGATGGCTGCTTGTTTTGAGACAAGCCTTTATGACCCCAGATGCTATTTTTCTTGATCTCAGACACCACATGATTTCTTCACCACACTCTTGCTATGGCACTCATATTATCAGTGATCTCATGAGGGCAAGTACCATGCCACAAGAACTAATTGTTCTTCTATTAGAACTACGATCAAGCGAGAACTCAAAATCCATTCATATAACTATGGTATCTATCTATCCCTGGTTCACTTTTGGAGACATCTTTATCATTTTGTTGTGGTACATCATAGATCGTGCTATGGGAATTAGGCAATTCTATTGATAGTAACACTGTTATGGTTAATGGTAAAACACTGTTGTACAAAGGATTTTTTAGATGTACAGGACATTTTATTAGTCTCTAATACATGAATTGTTAATTCTAGTGCCCACCGACAAGGAATGTGAATGGCCAATATCAGACATAGAGCACTGTAAAGAGGATTTTAGTGCCATTAGATCTCCCTTTGGACTCACTTTCAATCTGTCCTAAAATTTTTATTATTGTTTGTTTCCCTTTAGATCAAAGTTTTTCACTGTTTTAGATGATCATTGTTGCTGGGTTCTGGGGTTTTTATTGTTGTTCTCTCTGTTCTTTGTCCTTGTTGCATGTTTTTTCTGTATAGGGAAGCCAGAATTTATGAAGACAGTAATTGAAATGACAATTACCTGGGACAAGAAAGAGGAAGGTGGGGGAAATAGGAGGTCAACACCAACGGTGGAAGAAGGAAGAAAATGCACCAAAGCTGATTGTGGTGATTATGGCACAACCCTTCTTAATCACTACTGAATTGTATAATGAGTTAATTATAGCTCAATAAGGATTGTGTTGAGAATTATTTGTTTAGCTGACTGTACAAAAAATATATTGATCCCTTCTATCTGGTGTTATAGGCACAATGTGATCAAAATTATTATTGTAAACTATGATCAGAGAGAGCGTGTAAGTCACACTTCAGTCTTTACAACTGGATTTGATAAAGGGAGTTAAGAGTTTCAAGAAAGGGCAGGCTTTTGTTTTAAACCAAAGTAAATCAGAAGGATTTAGAAAAGCCCCACCCAGACCTGTGTGGGTTAGTATAGTTGCATTTAAAAAGACGGCTAGTCCTATGAGATGAGGGTGAGGTGCGGGGTGGAGTGGGGTGGGGTGGGGTGTGATTATCCGGTCTTCTGAATTCTGAGCAAGCAGTTTGCCTATGGCCATACCTAGGCTGGAAAAGTCTGTGTCCATCAAGGAAGATCCCCTCCTAAGACTGAAAGCTAAAGGGATACAATAAGTAGACTGGTATACTAGCTGTGTGACCCTGGATCCACTTGCGGCATGATCATGAGACAGGAAGTAATGAAGAGAAGGGCTGGGCTGTGTTTGGACATGTTCAGATACTGAGTCTACAGGCACGACCTAGTACAGAGGGTTAGGGCTGATGGAGATATGCGAAGGGCCCAGATTGTCTAACTGAAGCCCATTTGACCTAGTGATGATGGCTAGGGCTGAGATGACTCGAACCCAACCACATAAAGAGCACTAGGTTGACCCTGTGAGCTGGTATACATTGCCGCATCGTGGGGGGCCTTACTTTATGTTTACAGACGATCAAAGTTCCAAATGGAATGAAGATTGTTCAGATCAAAGATCTTGCATATGCCCATGTTCCCCAAAGTACTGGGTTCTTAGAATGGGAAATTGGAGATCTAAAATTGAGCAAGATAAGGCCATGAAGTTGTTAGCTTACAAGCTTTCATGTGTGTGTTCACTCTTAAAATAAGTGAAACAGGAACATCCTCACTGAATAGTTTTCTCTTTTCCTGATGGGTTGGGGTCTGGGGTAGGGAAAGATGTTGATCAAATTATGATTCAAGTGTGACTGTCAACAGGGTTAATGGTGATTGTAAACTTGTAATTGTAGAAGATGTAACTGAAAGGGGAGTGAAATAAAATCTTCATGTATGAAGGAAACATGGCAACAAGAGCCAAAAGGTGGCCTATAGTGGAGAACAAATTTTTTTTAAATTTTAGAAGATCATTTTATTGGGAGCTCTTATAACAATCCATACATCAATTGTATCAAACATATTTGTACATATGTTACCATCATTATTTTCTAAACATTTACTTCCTATTTGAGCCCTTGGTATCAGCTCCTCTTTTTTCCCCCTCCTTCCGCTCCCTCCCACCCTCAGGACCCCTTGATAAATTATTATTTTTATATCTTATACCAACTGCTATCTCCCTTCCCCCAGGGCTTTTGTTGTCCCCGTGGGTGGGTGGGGGGGAGCTGGAGGTTATTGTGATGGGTTCCCCCTTCCGCGCCCATCTCTTCCAACCTTTCCCTTACTCTCCTGGTATTGCTACTCCCATTTCTGTTCCTGAGGGGTTTACTGACCTGGATTCCATGTGTCCTGAGCTCTTAACTGTACCTGTATACATGTTCTGGTCTAGCCCACAGTGAAAGGCAGGGTCATGATAGTGGGGGGTGAGGAAGTCTCAAGAAACCAGAGGAATATTGTGTTTCATTGGTACTAAACTTCACCCTGGTTGACTCATTCCTTCCTTGTGACCCTTTTGTGAGGGGATGACCCATTGGCTACAGATGGGTTTAAGGTCCCTGCTCCAACCCCCATCTTTCTCAACAATGTTTTGTTTGTTTTAGGTCTTCTGATGTCTGTTACTTGATCCCACTGACACCTCATGATTGCACAGGCTGGTGTGCTTCTTCCATGTGGGCTTGTTGCTTCTCTGCTAGATGGCTGCTTGTTTAACTTCAAGCCTTTAAGACCCCAGACACTATCTTTTGATAGCCCAGCACCATCAGCTTTCTTCACCATATTTGCTTGTGCACCCATTTTGTCTTCCATGATCAAGTCAGGAGGGTGAGCATCACAGAATGCCAGGTTGTTAGAACAAAGTGTTCTTGCACTGAGGCAGGGTTAGAGCAGAGGCCCGAAGTCTGTCCACTACCTCAATGTATTGCCATATGAATATATGTACATACGTTAATACCTCTATTGTTATGAATTAACGTATTTACATATGTACACAACTGTGTTTATACCTCTATCCATAGCTTTGCTTCCTAGGTCTTTCCTCTGTTTCCTTTTACCTTCCTCCTGCTCCACCACCATGGTTGCCCTTCTTCTGCCTCTTAGTAATTCCTCTCAGCTAGCTTGCTGTTGGTCCAACACCCCCTGGATCTCTACATCCTCCTCATTGTTGATTTTAATTCCCTAGTTTTTCCCATGTCTATTGCATTGTTCGCTCACCACTCCCTTCCTAGAGTGAAATTTCTTCAGATGACTCTTCTACCCAATTTTCTCTTATTCCCACCAACTTATTCGGTGAAACTATGCAAACAGGGCATGTGTAACACTAACAGAGGGGACTGGTCAGTTTTCAGTACCACAACCCAGGTTATTGGGATGAGCCATTTTTGAAGCAAGAATAGAGAAAGAAACCCAAAGGACCAAGGGAGAACACATTCAAGATTTCTCTATGACGTGGTGGAGGCTGTGAGACCAGCTGCATCTCAGACCAGCACAGCAACTCAGAAGAGTAACACAGTGGCTATGTTATCTGGCCGGAGACTATGGAACTGAAGGATAGAGTGACAGGTAGGCTGGCTTTCTGGTCTATGCAAGGAAAGAACAAGGGACCACCTGACTGAGAGGCTGAGAACTGGAAAGAGATTTGGCTGCTGGCTAAAAAGACTAATGACTATTTCCTTAATGTTTGTTGACCCTGACTTGTGGTAATGTTAGGTAGTTAGAACAGGGACAAACGTGTCCACATAGCATGCTCAGAAATTCAAGCTCCTGGCCAGGAAAGGGTGATACACCTAGGTGAGCAGTACACCTGTATTGGTCCATCTAGGCCAGGTGAATTTAATTCAGTTAATGGGGTTGACCAGTACCGTCAACCACGCCTCCCAACAGGGGCCCTGAAAAGCCAGAAGTTTTTCTCTTGCTCATGCTTTCCCAGAGGCAGACACACAATTCAGTGCAGCCAGGCTGCGGTCCCAAACGGCTGGGCTGCAGACTCTCTCTCTCTGGCTTGTTTCATTTACTGTACCGCCTGAAACTGCTTCTATCCTTTATAAAACTCACTCGGATCACAAACCAGGCTTTAGTGTGAATCCTTTCTTGCTCAGCCAAGGACCTAGGTATTTCCCACCTGGGGAAATCTAACAGTAACTTCCCTAATAAAGGCCCTGAATTGTGTGTGTTGTTTGTGAGTTCTGTGTGGCCACCACAATGAACTATCAAACCCATCATAGATGTAGAGTGGTATGAGAGGAAACGTTGGTGTCAGAATAGGTAAAGGTAGACAGAACATGGGGGCCTGTTTCACCTCGTTCGTGGCAATAGGGAAGCCACAGGAGGTCAGACAGAACACAAGGACAAGTGTCCTGTATAATGTATGTTAGCAAACAAAGCTGCCCCCTTACAACATTCAATTGTGCAGCATGTTACGAGGTTTGAAACCAATGATTACTTTTATTTTCAGAGTAGGTATTATTCACTATCCTCATCTTATAACAAAGAAGCCTGATGTATAGAAAAGTTAAATAATTTACTCCTCTCATATAGCCCAAGCTCATAACTCTTGACTATTCCACACATGGTTTCAAACCATTTCTTAAAATTCTTGCAAAGGGGCTTAGGGGTGGGGGTGGGGATTGAAAGTATTTCTATCAATTATAGTATATGACAAAGTAAGATATATAACACGTGAACAAAAATTGTAATTCACTCAGATTTTTCATACTGTAAAAAATACCTATTTCATAGAAGTGAGAAGGGTTGTGTGCCCTCTTCCTCCAAATCATCTCCCATTTTCATTCGGGGAATTAATATTACTACACAATCTTAATTTACTACTAAAACGTTACCACGCTCTATTGGCACCATGGGATAAACAATGGGTTGCAAACCCCAATGACAGCTGCACAGACAAACCCACTAGCTGCACAGCAGTGGAAAGATGGAATTGCCTGCTCCTGTAAAATTTTAGTCTCAGAAACCCTATAGAGCAGTGGTTCTCAACCTGTGGGTCTCGACCCCTTTGGTGGTTGAACAATCTTTTCACAGGGGTCGCCTGGTTCGTAACAGTAGCAAAATGAGCTGTGAAGTAGCATGAAAATAATTTTAAGGGGAGGGGTCACCACAACATGAGGAGCTGTATTAAGGGTCTCGGCATGAGGAAGGTTGAGGATCATGATCTAGAGGGTGACTATGAGTTGGAGTTTACTCAATGGCAGTGGTTTTTGTGTTTTTGTTTAGAATAAACTTTATACATTAATGTGTAGTGATGAGTTTCTTTGATTTATTTTTCTTTAGTGATGGGTTTCATACATATAATATTAGAAGGCTTAAGAATGATAGAAAGCAATTTCACTGTATATTTTAAGTAAATAAATGTATTTAGCTTTTTAACATACATATTCTATACATTAATAGTTCTTTTAGAAAACCTATCACGTATTTATTACGCAATCACTGGGCTTTCAAATCACTTTCTGATTTCTGTATCACTCCCTAGAATGCCTGGCACCAATGAATGGCAGTCCCCCTTTATTTGTTCAATACAGACGACATTAGCTGACATGACAACTGGTCGACTTACCTTCAACTGCACTAGCAGGGTCACATTCTTCAAATTCAATAAGGCCTGGAAAAAAAGTAACAACTTCTAATAGAAAACAAATAGTTGGTAGAAAAAAATTCAGATTACATTATAACACTTTAAAATTTATGACTTTCCAGTGTTAACTGATAGTGCTAATTAAAAGACCAGCAATAAATTTTTATTTTCACAAAAATATATTAAATAATTTTTATTATCAGTAATAATGAAAGAAATTGTTGTTTCTTATGGTCAAAATTTACCCAAATCCCTCCATATGTAAAACCACAGAATTAGAGAGACAACGATTTAATATATCATTTCTGCTTTGAAGAAGCCTGCAATCAATGTGATGAGACACACAAGCATAATAGACAGTTGCTGGATTCATGGTTGTGTCCATGGGGAGGAGACCAGGATTGGGTGTTGATGATACTATAAAATGTAAACCTGGAGTCTTTGTCTGGTTAACTACTGTATCTCCTGAATACTAGAATAATGCCGAGCAAACAGAAAGCCTTCAATTAAATTTGCTGAGCAAGCAATTGAATGAATTACATATAAACCAAGGGATACTGCTGGGATTACAAGCCAGATCTCTCTAATTATAAAGTCCATGCATTCTCATGCAGAAAAACTTTGAACAAGAAAGAGATCAAGAAGTCTGAAGTTTACTCTGGAAAAAATGAGACTTTCATGGGAAAAAGTGATACATATACACACACATCCATGCAAAGTGATTTTACAGGATTATCAATTCAATATGTGGAAAGACTACAGGAAAAAAGTAAGACATCATGGAAATCAGTTATAAAGAATTAAAATAGTCATCAAATGACAGGACTGCTGAAACTATGCTGAAGTATCATAAAATAAGGTATGTTTCATACAAAATATCAAATAATCTACATAGTAAAAAGAAAAAGGAACAAAAGCATGAATTACTACTCTGCTACTAAAATATCCCAAAAGTTAAATATCAAGTCAAATAATGTTATCTTCCATTACACTGTTGTTTGGCCCTGTTTTACATATGGGCGGTCAGCCTTCATACCCATCACTCTTTTGTGAAAAAAAAATTAACAAGAAGAATTTTCTAAAAGTGATCCCAACCAAGTCATCGAGTCAATGTTGGCGCATCACTACCCTACATAGGGTTTGGGGACTATACCCTGTACAGGAGACAGCTGCATCTTTTTCTCACTCCTCTACAAGCAGGACCATCTACAAATATTAGTATAATGTCCCTTCTTCCCTATTCTAAAATGTATTCAATCCTGGTTTCTTTTCTTTCTTAGATCATTTTATTGGGGGCTCGTACAACTCTTATCACAATCCATACATGCATCCATGGTGTCAAACACATTTGTACATTTGTTGCCATCGTGATTCTCAAAACATTTTTCTACTTGAGTCCTTGGTATCAGCTCCTCATTTTTTCCCCTTCCTTCCCACCCTCCTACCCTCATGAACCCTTGATAATTTATAAAATTTTTTTCCACGTCTTACACTGATCATTGCCTCCCTTCACCCACGTTTCTGTTTTCCATCCCCCTGGGAGGGGGTTATATATAGATCATTGTGATCGGTTCCCCCTTTCTCCGCCCCCACCTTCCCCTTCCCCTCCTGGTATCGCTACTCTCATTATTGGTCCTAGGGGCTTATCTGTCCTGGATTCCCTGTGTTTTCAGCTCTGATCTATACCAGTGTACATTCTATGGTCTAGCCAGATTTGTAAGGTAGAATTGGGATCATGATAGTGAGGTGGAGGAAGCATTAAAGAACTACAGGAAAGTTATGTTTCATCAGTGCTATACTTCACCCTGACTGGCTCGTCTCCTCCCCAAGACCATTCTGTAAGGGGAGGTCCCAGTTTCCTACAGATGGGCTTTGGGTCTCCACTCCACACTCCACCTCATTCACAATGATATGATTTTTTGTTCTTTGATGCCTGATACCTGAGTCTATCGACATCTTGTGATCACACAGACTGGTGTGCTTCTTTCATGTGGGCTTTGTCGCTTATCAGCTAGATGGCCACTTATCTACAAGCCTTTAAGACCCCAGATGCTATATCTTTTTTTTTTAATACTTTTATTTTATTGGGGACGCTTACATCTCTTATCACGATCCATATATTCCTCCAGTGTGTCAAGCACATTTGCACATCTGTCACCATCATTTTCAAAGCATTCACTTCCCATTTGAGCCCCTGATATCTGCTCCCGGTTTCTTCCCCCTCCCACCCTCCCCTACCCACTCTCCCTCACAAACCTTTGATATATTATAAATTGTTTTTTCAATATCTTACATCTTCCTCCATTGCCCCTCACCCATTATTCATCCCCCTGGGGAGGGGGTTTTAGGTTGATCCTTGTGATCGGCTCCCCCTTTCTGCCCCCACCCTCCCCTAATCCTCCTGGTATCTCTACTCTCCTTGTTGGCCCTGAGGGGCTTATCTATCCTGAATTCCCTGTGTTGTAGGCTCTTATCTGTAGCAGTGTGCATGTTCTGGTCTAATCCAATTTGTAAGGCAGAATTGAGGTCATGATAGTGGGGTGAAGGAAGCATCAAAGAACTAGGGGAAAGTTGTGTGTTTCATCAATGCTATACTGCATCCTGACTGGCTCATCTCTTCCCTGTGATCCCTCTGTGAGGGGATGTCCAATTATCTACTGATGGACATTGGGTATCCACTCCATGCCCGCCCCCCCTGCCGCCCCGTTCACCTTGGGTATTGTTTTATTCTGGGTCTTAGATGCCTGATACCTCATCCCATCAACACCTCATGATCATACAGGCTGGTGTGCTTCTTCCATTTGGGCTTTGTTGCTTCTGAGCTAGATGGGCCCTTGTTTATCTTCAA